CTTCTCATAGCGTTTGTGGAAGTTCGTTACAATCCCATCCCAAGTCATGACATACGGAATTACTTTGGTCTTGCATTTCATCTCTGACGCAAGCTTATCGGCAAGTCATATTTTCGCTTTTTTTCGGTCTCGACTACTGTTAACCTGTCATGACCAGTGATGCCAACCTCAATCGAGATTACTTCACGTCGCTTCTTACCGTGTATCATCATATCCAGCCGATCCGCTTTTATTCTGATCGCAGTTTCCACTCGCGTATCGATCCTGATCTCAACATTCTCATTCGCGACGACCTCATGAACAGAATGGCTTCGCAAGCGCCGGAATGCTTTCAGACCATACTTTTTGCAGTCACAAATGGTGCATCGTAGGACCTCATTGTGTCTTCTAGTATGACTGCAATGTAACATTCTTTCGCACAGCGTTGCCAATGGCCCACCGTCTTCACACGTTGCCTACATGTTGGCACATACCTTCCTCAGCTCCACTATATATTTATATCTTCGAGATTACAGTATCGTGCTTTATTTTGCGAGGTAATGTTTCCGTATCGTAGCCATATTGATGAATCAGTCATGGACCGGATTTTATTTGTCCCCAACCTTGTATAGCTTTGTTTGGTGGGTCCTTGTTTTCTATTTCGCTATACAAGAGCGTCTTCTGGGCTGCTAACACATTTTTGACAGTAAGATTTTCTGCGAAGTTGTACCTAGTCTATAGATACAGCAGAATAATAGCCAAGTACGTATTATGAACTTTAATGTGGAAGCGGATCCCACGAGTTTCAAACTGTTAAACGAGATGACGCTAAGAATACCGTTTTGATCTGAATGAGTCCTTATTGCATACACGCACACACAAGGCTCAACTTCGTTGAGCTTATTGCATGCACATTTTATGTGCAGGTTTATGTATTCGTTCTTTACCAAATGCAAGCAAAGATTACAAAACTGCGTAATTACTCTTGTTTAATAGTTAACTTCCTTGCGATGACAAAGAAAATACTAAAAAATTATATTTCAACAGCTTTCATTGCCTCGCTATCACAAAAACTACTAATTACACATAAATTTACAGAGTTCTAATTCGACATTAGTGCTCGGTAAATTGCTACATAATGTATGAAAATCAAAAATATTAATTCCTTTCTGAATTATCTTGCAAGAAGTATATAATCGATATTCAGAGTGTATGAAGGATGCAAAACGGATTGTAATACAGCACAACAAACACAAAACATTAACTCAACTAGTCATGAATGAAAATGGTCAGCTCAGTTACAGAAAAAAATTAAAACATGAACAATGATAGTGGTAGTAATAATAATATCGCCATTAACAGCAGTTATATGCCTCATACAGTGTTCAAACATCACTACATCTGAAGTTAGCACTTTCTGCAATTGAACAACATAACAAATGAATGATTTCTTGAACAATGAAGGTACCCTTAATTCAGATATGTAGAATCATCTCCGCGAGCAAGTAGGGAAGATTGAAATGCGAATAAGATGGAAAATAGACTGTTCAAACGAATATAAATGTAGTGCTGATACAAGAAGGCTTTTGTTGAGATCGGTGAACCAAATTTATCTTACACAATGAGAAGTAGATAGAAATAAAGTAAAGTACCATAAAAAATCACAATTCATCTATCCCTTATAGTATAACAAAATATTTGTTTCATAAGATCACAAAACAAGAATATCTAAAAACATTACTCAACTCTGCTTGGAACTGTGTAGTCAGAGAAATTTTTATAGCTAAGACAGGGCCTTGGAAAATTTTTAATTATAAGTGGACGTCAATATTGAACGCTCGATTAGTAATCTGCAGAGAATGTTTTATACAATATTTCATTAAGATGTGTCAATCGCTAATACTGCTTTGGCACTGTAATCAGTAACCTTGGTAACGCTGAACATCTCATAAAACAAACTAATTATGAATTATTTTGAAAAGAAGATTTTACTTGTTTAACAAAGCTCTCTAAAAGTGACAGCTATTATATAGAAACAATGATAATAATAGAAATACAAAAGTACTGGAATTCAATGACAATGTTACACACTTCAAACACGATTTCTTCAGAAAAAAAGTCAACATATTACAAATCTCACTTTTTTAAGTTAGTAGTCTTCAAAATTATATTTAGTATAAACTACGAAATACATATTGTTATGTTGAAACACATCAAGTACTTGATAGCTGAATTTAAACAAAAACAGACTAGCTGTAAACAAAAGCAAAAATGATGGATTCAAATTTTACACGGTATCGATCATTGAACTCTTCAGTATAATTATATAAAAAAACACACATTTTCAAAATTTTCTAAAAACTAACAGTACAAAAATGCAACTTCAGCAGCATAAAAACTTGGAAGCATACCTACAACTTAATTTAATCAGCGCTTATGAGAATCTTCATGATAAAGCTGCTCAATTATTTGTTCATACTTTTCTTTGATTGGACGACGCTTCAATTTTAATGCCTCAGTTAGAAGACCATTCTCAGATGTCCATACCTCCTCACATAAATAGACCTTTCCCGGTAATTCAGTTTTTAATAAATGATCTGAAAAATTAGCAAGATAACTCAGAATGCACTAGTCACTGATATGCTAGATAAGATTGAAAATTTTACGCACCTGCAGACAATAACCATTTTCGCACTAATTGTGCGTATATGAGATCACAAAATTTTTAGCGATTTTCCTTTTTACTGATCTAAGTTTGAGTATTAAATTGAAATTGACATTCCTTTTTTTGCTACTGTAAGATTTTATTACTCTGTTAAATAAAATCTTACAGCAGCAAAAAAAGAAGCCAGCTCTAACACTGCAGCAAAACTACATGTATGAAATTTACTGAGAATAGTAACAATACTAGTTACTAATCTATTCCTATAACATTTTGATTTACCCAATTTAATTAGCGAGAATCGAATACTGATCGATTCCCACAACTCAATATTGGGAATAATGAAGATTCCTATTATGAAGTTCCATAAGTATTACAAACACATACTTCTTACGGCATGGTCTTCCATACGTTTCTTATATTCCTTAATAATTTCTTGGTTTCGACATAACTCATCTGAATTTGATGAGCTGACATGAAGCTGCAAATAGAAAAGGTCAAATAAACATAAATCTTCCTACATTAAGTTATTTGTGGTATTTTATAGCTTATATAGCGGTCAACACATAATGCTTAATACTCATTTTTAGAACAATTTCAAGTTCATTTTTTATTGATGTACTGTGCATCAATTAAAAAAAATCTAAAAACTAAAAATGAAGATCAAAAAACCTGAACGAGATTTCTTACAGGTAGCCCCAAATTTCTTAGTGGCAACATTCTAAACTAGATTTTCTGATGGTATTAAATTTTATTTACAGTAATTCTTACTGCAAAAATGTACCTCCTTAGCAATTCCTTCCAAATGCTTCCTATTAGGGACAACAAGTGCAATCAAATATGACGACAGTGAATCGCCATAACAGCATATATTATCGATCAATGGACAATTCAATAATGCTGTTTCGATTTTGGCCAATGAAACATATTCACCATGTTGTAGCTTAATCAAATCTTTCTTTCGATCTTAAAATGAAAATTCTGACCTTTCTTGAATTTTCTACACAACTTTTATAGTAAGCCGGTCATGTAAACTTAATCTCAGAGTACTAACCAATGATACGTAATGATCCATCTTCCCGAAATTCCCCAATATCTCCGGTAGCAAAATAACGTACATCATCTATAACTATAAAATCTTCTGCTGTCTTTTCAGGCTGCTTCCAGTAACCTGGTGATATATTAGGCCCACTTACAAGAACTTCACCCTGAGGTGGATCATTGTATGGTGTATATCCACCTAGAAAGAAGTGACTGCAAACGAAAATGCAATAGGATCCAAATGCAGTTCGGTGACATAATATTAAAACTACATTTATACATCAGCTGAATATATCAAATTTGAAACCAGCAAAATATCATTTCGAATTCTTTTAAGCAATGGTCTTGGTCATGAAGGGACTGACAGAAATAATGATGGAATGATAAGGTACCTACCTTCTTTCCATTCGCGAAGAAGTATTTGTAAACATCGAAGAGGTGGACCAACAGTTCCTGTACTTAAATCGCTAACTGCAACAATATTAGTGGTTTTCAAATCCATACTTTCCAATTTTCATACTTTGCAAAAATCTTTCAGATTCATTTTATTCAAAATTTCATGGCAAATGCCTAACATTTTCTCATTCTTTGGCACAGATAATAACACAATTTCAACAAATGAAAAGAAGAAAACAAATTAAAAAAATAAATACTAACCATCAGAAATAGTGCTCGATGCACACGTTTCCGTCAGTCCATATCCTTGTATAACGGGGCAGCACATGCAAATATTCATGAAACGTTGAGTTTCGGAATTTAGAGCAGCACCTCCACACAATATACCACGCAATCTACCACCCAAAAGTCGACGAATTTTCTTGAAAACTATTCTAAAAATAAGTTTTGTTAAAGTAACCTAATGACATACAGTAGCTTCCTAAAACAATTTTAAATAATTTCTAGAACCTAAAATTAGAAATAATATGAAAACAAACAAGAATCAAACTAATAACTAAAAATTTATGAAACTAATTTACATTAATTTACAAATTTGGGAGCAAAAAACTTGAAACCTGTCTAAAAATGGACTACAATATCCTTCTTGATAACGAGCACGTTTTCTTTCATAATTCAATCGAAAAAGTTCCTGCATGAAGCGTGGACTCGCAGCAACTTCATCACTTACTGCTTTAAATATTCTATCCATTATTGCCTAAAAAATAAACACACTCCTTGGATGAATTACTGACACCTCACATCATTACAGAACTTGAACTGAGGAATATTTAGTTCTATTGCTGACTTCTAAAGCAGAAAGAGTATAGACATCAAGAAAAAGTGAGAACTTAACATTTTTAGCATACTTTACTGATAAAATAAAAAAAGAAATAGTGTATGATTTAATGCTATCAATATTTACCGGAACTGCTGCCAACAGTGTTGGCCTTAATGCCCAGCAATCACCATGTGTACCTGGCTTAATTTTTGCTCCACGGTCATGAAGAGTCAATGGACTTGAATAACCAATACGGCAACCCCGAACCTATTGATAATAATATAATATCATGTGTAGATTTTTTAACTAATTAACGATCTATTTCTTAGTTAATTTTTGAGGCACAATTTTTGATCAATAATTAAAAATCCATCTGATATCATTTGAATCAATAATATGAATATCAATATGGTATAAAACAATAATAAAATTACTATATTTCGAATTTTCACATTATATAAACACTGATTTCAAGTGAAGCAGTCAATAAAGTATTAATCTTGAAAAGCATAAGGAACGCAAAACTTCAAAAACTAACTAAGCACGTGATTTCTGCACAAAATTCTAAAATGTGTGCCAATGGAAGATAACCAATGTAGGTTTCGGTTTCTGAAATAATACCTCCTACTCCAGCTCCTAATCCAGCTATTGATGACACGATATTATAATGGGTGAGAATCACTCCTTTTGCAGCTCCAGTGGTACCACTAGTATACATTATCATTGCTGTATCATTTCGATTAGCCGGTGAAACAGCTGCAAAAACAAATTCTCTAATGAATAAAACCAAATATCCAAAAAGAATTATTCATATACAAAAATTTTTTAAATCAAATAACAACAAATCGACTGCTAATCACCGTCATTAACCTAATAATAAAGAAGTTACCGGGAACTGTGTTTTTATAGGTCCTTAGATCGTCCAAAGAAAAAACATTTTTAAACTGATTCTTGATAATATTCATATTACTGAGTTTTTTAGATGGATGAACAGGACGAAAATAGACTAAAGAATGAAGAGATGCACATTTTCTGCCCATTACTGCTATCTTTGGTAAAAGCTCAGCTGAAGTTATTAATAAAGTAGCTTCCGTTTCATTAATTGCTTGTGCAATAGCCTGAAATTTATCTAGTACATAAAGAGACACTTTAAATGAGTCCCAAAATTAATTGTTTAATTAGATAACATCGTGATAATATAGAGGAAATATAACGAAAAAAGAAAATTTTCACCTCCTCTCCAAGAGTAGCATAAACTGTAACAACCGGTACATTGATCCTAAACAATGACAATGCAGTAATTAACCAATCAGCGCGAGTTTCAGCAAAAATCACTGCCTGCAATACATATGCTACATATGAAAAGCACTAAACCGTTCAGTTTCATGGAGCATGATTAATCTTTACCCTACAATCATTTTGTATGATGTCCTTGAAACCTGATGCAATGCGACCAATCTCTTCCTGAATCTCAGCATATGTCATCCAATTATACTCACCCATCACCCACTGAAACTTCGATTTTCTTGAAGAACTTGGCACAAAAATGATGTTAAAAATAATGTTGTTAGATTACTTCATAAAATAACTGAAAGAAGTTTCCATAAAACTAATCAAATAAAATTAATCTAATGCAAGAGGAATATATATATATTCCTCTAAATTTTCCTCATACATAAAAAGCTTCAAGCAATCACTTTTTCGAAGATGCGCCCATCTGACTGTTGTTCTTCATGCACTTCCAGCAGCTCTCTAGTGCCTAAAGCTGGTTTATCACCAAACAATTTCGTCACATGAGTGAACAATTTATCCACCGTATCTTTACCAGGAAAATCTTCAGTGATTGGACTTTCTACATTGCGCCACAAATTTTGTTTACCTCTCACTAGTTTAGCCTTAATAATAATAGAATTAATGACTGGAGTAGAAGCATTGCTTGATATAAGAGAAAAGACTTTTTACACTATAATTGGCAATTTGTTGTTGCAACAAATACTGCTTGTTACTTGAATGACATCGTTTTTTTACGAACTATAGTAATATTAATATTGACCTATCTGAACAGTTAAAGCATCATAAATGTTTGTTCATAACGATAATTTTTCTAACGTCACTGAACTGAATCATCAATTATGAACCAACTTTTATTCTTTCACTTCGTTGTAATTTAGCAGTCGGTGAATTGAACAGTTCGTATGGGATGTAATTCAAACAGTCATATACAAAGAACCATGCACGCAATAAAAACATAATTAAGCGAATCCATAAGGGTGAAATTCCCTGAACAAACGAACAGAAAAGAAATGCATTTAAAAAAAGGAATCTTAAAAAAACAGATTTTCCACATTCCCATTTTTTTTTCAAAGTCACATTAAGTGGTTACATTTGTAAGGCAGTATAAATCAAGATCAGCTTGCAGACAACATTAAATAAACTGATATATAAAGAATTACAATGTTCGTCATAAACTGTAAGAAGCATTGTAATTCATATTTATCATATCAACCATTAAAAAATAAAGTGACATAGTAATATTATATATGTGATCGATACAGTACTATATTATTTTTATAGGTTATTGTCAGAGTCTAGACATTTCACTAACTGCAGTGAAAAAATGTAAGTTAAATTTTTTATGGTATGAAATGATGCTGAACAGAATGCGATTTCTGAGAACTGGATAGAGAAAATGACAAACCTTGACAAGTTTGTTGATTGTTTTTTGACTTTCGGTATGATCATCCCCTTCCCTATATAAAAAAACTCGATTTCCCATTATGATCAAATATCTAAAAAACTTCATATTACAATTGTCAAAACAAGCTTAATATTCAAATAAGCGCGCCTTCTTCATTACGAAAACACGTGATAATAGTTAAAAAACAAGTAATATATACGATTAATTTAGAAGCTACAAATTGGTTGTGTAATACTGTTATCAAAAATATTCATAGTTAGAGATATAACTACTAAACTCAACTAATTTCAAACCTCGCCATAAAAAAATATTATGTGAGATAAACATTTAGACTTTAAACCATTTTTTAGTTCAGTAGATTTTCACAGCAAAAATTGAAACTGGATGGCTAGCAAATCAGACGTCATCAGAAACCTTTTTCATCTACGCCACTCCATTTCCTTTGTTTGAAAAACGTAACACAACCATTCTGACAAATATGAGCAGACAGTAAATCGCAACAAGATTATAGCAATTTAATTAAAAATTCGAAAAGCAATAAATCATCAATCTTCACAACGATAAAAATCGAGTTTCTAGTGTATCACTGGAAAATAATATTAAGTTGAGACAAGCAATTTACTTGATTTCTTGATATTTCAGAAAAACGAGTAAGTTGCAGAACTGTAAGTCAGTGACAGAAAACTACGATACTGATAGGATTAAAAGATTAATAATATCATTACTTCTGAAGATGTTGTTCATATAATTTAAATCTTAAACCGTGAATGACGTGAATGAAATTACTGATTACTAAAAATCAATAATTTTATTGTCAAAAATAGCAATAATCAAGATAAGAATGGAAGAAGCAAAGTTCTGTCTGATAAAAAGAAAGTTATTAGACGTGCCTGCTTTGGTGCGATGTTATGTTGGCTGACACAGACACATAGGCATGTATCATGTGTATGCATACCATAGGCTTTATAAACAAAAAAAAAGATATAAACAGCATCAATGATTAAAGGTTATGCTGGTTCTTTTGATTTCTTTTTCAACTCACTTCAGTTACTGATCACCGAAAATTGAAAACAGTTACTGAACACGCAATTTTTTTGTCAACCGCAAGTCGACATACGTTAACGCTAATATTCATTACTTATATATATACATAGCATGCAATATAACTCATGATATATATATATATATATATATAT